AGGGATTGGGACTGAGTCGGAAGGAGGGGGAAGGGGTTTTCTCAGGAGTTTGGGAGTCTCAGGGGCAAGATGAGGAGGGAGGGGCATTTTAAGAGTGGGCACAGCATGTGCAGAGACACAGGGCAGAATGTGTAAAGAGTTTAGTGAATGGAGTGGAGGTGTTGGGGGTATTGAGAGTGGACCTTCAGAAGGCAGGCAGGACCTGGTGATGAAAGGCCTGGCATATCTGGCCGGGGTGGCTGTACCCTGTGGACGGTGAGGGCTGTTGAAGATGGAGGGCGGAAGATGGAGAGAGGAAGCATGCCGAGAGCTTGGATATGCCTGGCCTTGCCCAGGGGTGTAGCTGCTGGACCCCAGCACTCAGCAGACCTGCAAGGAAGCAGCCAACCTCTTCACCTGGCGGCTCTGAGGCCAGCCTCGGAGCAGTTAAGTGGCTGCCATGGGCTGACTGGGCCATTAGGACTGGGGCCATCTTTCTGAGCAGTGGGTGTGTCTGGCTGCAGGGGTGTGATGGAAGGACACCCTTCTTCTCTGACTCTGCTTCAGAACCACAGCCCTTCTGGCCTCCCTGGGACCCAGCCCCATCCTACGGCTCCCTCGTCCCTGCCTCCCCCATGGCCGGGGTAGTCTGAGGCTAAAGGGGTCGCATGTCCAGAACTTGCTGTCCTGCCCGCCTCTCAGCCAACCCCCACTTCTCGATAAAGTTCACCCATCTCCCGGGTCTACGTGGCCTTTGATTCCCTACGCCTGCTGAGGACCCAGCCTGCCCCCAATTGCCTGTGCCCAGGGAGGGCACAGAGCCTCTTCCTCTTGGCCACGCATTGATTTTCTTCCATGGTGGCTGGTCACTGCTGCTCTGGGTAATGTCTTTTAATGAATTGTTATTTGCTGAATGTGGACCCAAAGGGCTTTTTACCAACAAGGGCCCCACCCTGAAACCCTCCATAAATCATCCCCATTCAAAGCAGGCCTGCTGGWGAGCCAGGGAGGGTCTCTCCTGGTGGAGCCCTCGTCATGGAATCCCTTTCTCTCAGTCAACCCGATGGCCACCTTTTAGGCTTCCCAGATGGCCATCTGTTGGGACATGTACCTACAGGAAACCCTTCCTGCTAGGAAGTGGGAGGGGCTTCACTCCGTGTCTGGAGTGCCGCTCACCTGTGTCTGGGTTTCCCAAGGTACCGTCCACCTGTGTGCCTGAACCCCAGGAGGCCTCTTTAAAATGCTGACTTGTGGCCCCACCCTGGCCTCCAATGACCCYGAATCTACATTTTTGACAATCCCTGGAGGAGATTCTTAAGAACATCCAAATTAGAAAATAGCCACTCTGAAACCAAATAGCCTTGGCACCCCACCCCCATTTTTTTTTTTTTTTGGTCCTTTTTTAAGTCGATGAGGCGGGTACGTGTGGACGTCCCTGCGTATTGGCCAGCATAGTCCATCCAGCACCACATACACCTCTGCACAGAGCCCCACTGGGCGGGAGCCTCAGGGAGTAGGTCCGCATCCAAGTCAGCTGGGGATTTTCCTCAGATCCTTCCAAAAGCATGACTCGCACGTCTGGATGGGGGCCGAGGTGGAATAAGGGCCCCTTGGTGAATGTCATCAAATAGCGTCGGGGGTGGGGTCCCGGCTTCCAGCTGCTGCTGAGAAGATCAGGGAGACGTCAGACAAAGCGAGAGAGCCTCGAAGAGACTGTGGGCTTTTCAGGGTCCCCAGCGAAATGGTGAGGAGAAGGCCCCTGAGACAGATGACGGCCCTTGTGGCCAGCACAAGGGGCTGGGGCTGGGGCCTGGGAGCACTGYACCCTGGGGTGCCTGGGCCTGTGTTTCTGCTCAATTTGGTTCCCTGGCCACCTGTGCCAGTACCCTGACCCCGGCCAGCCAGAGCCCCCCCAGCTCCATGCCATCTCGATCCCTCTGAGACCAAGGGCTTCTCACCTACGGTGACTTGGCCTGGCCAGGTCCTCCCATGGAGGCTGCTGGGTCTTGGACCTGACAGCTCTGGGGGCCTCTCAAGCCATCTCCCCAGCCCCGGCAGGTCCCCTCTCCCTCCTCCCCCCTTGATTTTATCCTTGTCCTTGTCTGCCTCTCTCTTTGCCCTTCCTGCCTTGATGGATTGAAACCAGCCTTGAGTTCCGGCTTCTTGTGGTCCAGTAAATAGCTCTTAATGTGGTCGTGGTGGACAGGGAGAGGGAGGGACGAGTTTGTGTGTGTGTGTGGGGGGCGCTTACCTCCATCTCCGCGACAGGGGGAGGGGAGCTGCTCCACAGGTCGTGCCCACACACTGGACGCTGCAAAGCCCTCCAGGGCTGGGCAGCCCTCGTGTCCTTGATCCTGCCCTTGATTACAAAGAGGAGGGCACTCAGTTCTAGGCAGACTGGCCTGGAGCGCACGGCCCTTGTGGCCCGCACAGGGCCGTCAGCAGCAGCGACTGGCCCCTTCTTTGAGGACAGCAGGAAACACATTCATTTGCATTTAACAAACAGGATTTAATTAAACAATGTATACCTCTTTGATTTTCTTACTGCACCTTAGTGGTTTAGCAGTCATTGTTTCTGATTTTGCTACAACAGTAGCCCGTGAGGGTCCATCACGGGGCRGAACAGGGTTAACGCTGGCATTTTCGTAATGGATGAAAATGAGGCCTGCCCAGGAGGGGTACAGAAGGGCCAGAGCATCAGGTGGTGGGGATCATCAGGCAGTCTCCCCGCTGCCTCCCACCAGTTCAGACCTTGCCCCAGCCCTGTGACCCAGGGCCTCCACAGTAACACTGTGGCCCCTTATCACTCGGGACTGGCTGCTGGCTGAGGTCCCAAAGCCTCAGGGAAAACTGAGGGCAGAGCTGGTTCTCAGCGCACAGGGACCGCAGCGCATCTAGCCCCCAGCGGGTGTGGGGTCCGTGGGTGCCTCCTCGCATGCAATCTCTGTGCGGGCTCTTGATGACGTCACTGGGCTGCTGTGGTGTGTGTGTGTCGATCAGCATGTTCCTGTTCTGTGGTTGTCTAATCACTTGTTTTTGGCCGTGGGCTTCTGTACAAGGGTTTATTTTTAGAGACTGTCACTTCTGGCCCGAGGGCTGATCCTTGGGCAGGGCAAGAACGTTTGTATTTTCTGAAATGTTTGTGGCTTTAAATTTAAATATTTATTTTGGGGTATTCCTGCCTTTTATGTGTTTATTCTACTGTGTGTGTGTGTGTGTGTGTGTGTGTGTGTGTGTGTGTGTGTAAGGGGGGGTGTGGATGTAGCCTAACACAAATTTTACAGTCTTTTAAGTAAATTAGCTCTGATTGTGAGGTGCAGCCCCCTGGCCCCAGGTGCTGTGTCTACAGATCTGTCGTTTTGGATCAGCCACGGTACCACCTGCCCCCAGGGCTAGAGACCGTGGTGTGTGCGGTGCCGGGCACCAGGGTTGGCACTTGGGGAGCACACACTGTCGCAGCTGCTGTTCACCACGCCGTGCTGGCTGTGGTTCTTGGTGTGGGGGTCCCCTCGCCGGCACAGGCCCCTGTGTTTCTGATTTGGTGACTTCTGGTTGGTGTGCGCCTCAGGGTCTTGAGTCGGGTTCAGTGTGTGGTTGCTGGGTGTGGGCTGGGGTGGGTGCAGTCTTGGGAGGGGGTGTTTTACCTGGGGTGGGGGCTGGATTGCAGCGGAAGGCGGGGCTCTGCGTGAGGGCGTGGGGTGTGTGCCTCGGGTCTGGAGCAGGGGCTGCTGACTGTACCGGGTGTGAAATCACTGAGCTCCTCTGGGTGGGGGAGGTTCTTGCTCCTGAGTCAGCCCCCTGGCCCAGAGCCACCCACAGCTCACTTTTTCCTTTTAGAGAAAGTGTTGCTTCTGGGGGTCCCTAGAGCTGCCTGCAAACAAAAGGAGAGCTCTCTCCAGCAAAGACCTCTGCTTTGGGTTCTCCATCCATTCCCAAGGTGTCTCCCCTGCCACCCTGGTCCCTGAGCCCCTGCCCAAGCACCCCGCATGGCGCACTCTGCGGAGGGAGTGCCGGTCCCCTCTGGCACAGGACTGCTGGCTACGTCAGCTGCGTCTTGGCTCAGCTCCTCAGGGGTCCTGGCTGGCCCTCTGGTGGGCCTGCTGCCACCCTGCCCTTGACTGGTGCCCCTTTTCCTGCAGGCTGAATGGTGTGGGCTGAGCTTGTCGTGGTGGGCAGGGTCCGTGTGCAGGGGACAGTGCTGGGGGAGGAAATGGGAGAGACTTCAGAAAATGTGGCACTAGGGAGAATGAATGGCGTTGCATGTCTGAAAGGCTCCAGAAAATTCTTTGTATTGAGCCAAACTTGGCAGCGGAGGCCGGAGGGCGAGTTTGTCTTAGAGAGTCCCAGCTCTGTCTTCAGCCTCTTCTCCCCAGCCCCGCCCGCCGTGGGCTCGCATCCGGCGCTGTGCCCTTACTGCCCTCGCAGGCTCTTCCCCCACTTGCCGGGGCCAAGGCTGTCCTTAGAGGTGGGCTGACCCCTCCGYGTGCGTTCAAGGCGCAGCCCACCTCTCCTGGCGTCAGCCCCTAACCCCGAGCAGGAATTCAAGGAACTCCCCAAGATGTGCTAGTGGCCGTCACCGTTCAGGAATGGATGGTCCCCAGGATGGACACCTCTCTGGCCACGGACCCGACACGGCTCAGCTCGACTCATGTCGGCTCGTTTCAACGTGTAGCCTGCTGTGTTCAATGAAGAGTGGCAGCTCATAGGGTCCAGCATGATTCTATTATTGTCCTGTTGCACAGACGAGGACACTGAGGCCCAGAGTAATTCACGCCTCTGTGTCCAGGAAGCTGGTGAAAAGCCAGCGACAGGCCTGGGTGGGCGTTTGCCCTCAGGACTCCTTGCCCAGTCCTAGGCTCTGCTGCCTGGCCCTGTGTGGTAGGGTCCTTTGTCCCTTTCCTTTGTGCCTCCTCTGAGTGGCAAGAGGAGACTCGGGGATCCAGATGGGGCTCTAACTCTTTTCCTTGTGGGAACAGCTGCCTGCGGGTRACATGTGCCGTCTCCTTGCTCTGTCCTTGCAGAGGTGGTGGGACACACCCAGGGGCCGCTGGACGGGAGTCTGTACGCCAAGGTGAAGAAGAAGGACTCCCTGAACGGCAGCACCGGGGCCGTCAACGCCGCGCGTCCTGTCCTGTCGGCCACCCCCAACCACGTGGAGCACACGCTCTCCGTGAGCAGTGACTCGGGCAACTCCACAGCCTCCACCAAGACCGACAAGACGGATGAGCCTGTCTCCGCGGCCTCCGGTGCCCCCGCTGCCCTGAGTCCCGAGGAGAAGCGGGAGCTGGATCGCCTGCTCAGCGGCTTTGGCCTAGAGCGAGAGAAGCAGGGYGCCATGTACCGCGCACAGCACCTCAGGTCCCGCCTGGCCGCCGGCCCAGCTGGGTCTCCCTCGGGCCGCCACGTTGTCCCAGCCCAGGTCCATGTCAACGGTGGGGCCTTGGCCTCTGAGCGGGAGACAGACATCCTGGATGATGAGCTGCCCAACCAGGATGGGCACAGCGTGGGCAGCATGGGCACGCTGTCCTCTCTGGACGGGATCACCAACACCAGCGAGGGGGGCTACCCAGACGCCCTGCCCCCACTGACCAACGGCCTGGACAAGGCCCACCCTGAGGAACCTCTGGTCAATGGCGGGGGCTACCCCTATGAGAACGCCAGCCGGGCAGTGCCCGCCCATGCTGGCCACGTGGCCCCCATGCGACCCTCCTACTCGGCGCAGGAGGGCTTAGCTGGCTACCAGCGGGAGGGGCCCCACCCGGTCTGGCCCCAGGCAGTGACCACCTCCCACTATGGCCATGACCCCAGTGGCATGTTCCGCTCTCAGTCCTTCCCGGATGCCGAGCCCCAGCTGCCCCCAGCTCCAGCCCGCGGGGGCAGCAGCCGGGAGGCCGTGCAGAGGGGGCTGAATTCATGGCAGCAGCAGCAGCAGCCTCGCCAACCTCCTCGCCAGCAGGAAAGAGCCCAGTTGGAGAGCCTCGCGACCGGCAGGCCCAGCCCCCAGCCGCTGGCAGAGCCCCCCGCCTCTGCCCTCCCAGAGTTCCCCAGGGCGGCCTCTCACCAGGAGATTGAGCAGTCCATCGAAGCGCTCAACATGCTCATGCTGGACCTTGAGCCAGTCTCGGCCGCCGCCCCCCTGCACAAGTCCCAGAGTGTCCCTGGGGCCTGGCCAGGGGCTCCCCCACTCTCCTCCCAGCCCCTCTCGGGCTCTTCCCGCCAGTCGCATCCACTGACCCAGTCCAGATCTGGCTCCATCCCCGGTGGGCACTCCCTGGGAACCCCCGAGCTGGCCCCTCCCGGCAGGTCTTACTCACCTTACGATTATCAGTCGGGTCCAGCTGCGTCCAACCAGGGTTTCCGTCCAAAGAGCCCAGCCTCCTCATCCTTCCTTCCAACCGCCCATGGCCCCCCAGGGCCTCAGCAGCCCCCAGCCTCTCTCCCTGGCCTCACCACTCAGCCTCAGCTCCCACCAAAGGAAGCGGCCTCAGAGCCCTCCCGAACCCCAGAGGAGGAGCCACTGAACCTGGAAGGGCTGGTGGCCCACCGAATCGCAGGTAAGAGCCGCAGGGGCCGTCAGACGTGGACATTCCCTCCTTCCTCCCTCTGCCCTTCCCTCGGGTCTCCGTGGGCCTTGCTGGGGGAGGTGCAGTGCTGCTGTGGCCTGGGGAGGCTCTCAGGAGCTGGGGCCCAGCCACCCTTCCTGTATCTACACCTCAAAGAGTCTGCAGCCTTGTCAGGGCACAGGCACAGACAGGTAATTCCRAAACAGTACAATGTGTGCTAGGACAGAAGTGAGACTGAGCCCCAGAGCTCGGGGAAGCATAAYATCCCACCTAGGGCAACCAGGGAGAGCTTCCTGGAGGTGGTGACTCAGGGCTGGAGTCCAGACTTTCTAGGTGGAGAGGAGACTAGGAGCCTGCCTGCCGTGCTTGTTGTCCTCAGACTTCAGGTCCTTGGGGTAGGAGGGAGGTCTCTGTGGACGGTTTCCCTCTTAGACCCTCCCCGAGGCCATGATGAAGCCCTTGGGCTCTATCTGGGCCTTCAGGTTTGTTTTTTTGAGGTGCCAAGGTCCCCTTGCCGGTTAGCTTCCCGTTAGTCCTTGCCTAGGACCAGCTCCTCTTCCTATCAGAGCAAATCCAGAAAGATACCTAGAGAGGGAGGAGAGAGTGGGAACCAGGAGAACCTACTGGGGAGAAAAAGGCAAGAAAGAGCCAGTGTCCAGGCCACCCTGGGAGGGACACAGCCACCTGCCGCAGCTTATGACTGTTCCCAGGGACAGCCAGGCCTGGGGGAATCCTCGCAGTTGACTTTGTTGTGAGGCGAAAGCYGGACAGGGGTGGCCCCGAGACTGGGGTGGGGTGGGCCTCGGGCCCAGCCCTCAGCTGACAGGGGGTGAGACTCGAGGGGAAGGCAGGCTGGGCAGCTGGCTCTGCCCTCCACTACACTTGGGGAAGCTGAGTCACCGTGCCAGCTGCAGGGAGGAAGGGAGGCACCCTCCTGGGATGGGGAAGCAGCTCACAGAGGCCAGCTGGCTCTTGGGTTGGGCCAGGCCCTGGGTGCCCTGGGTGCCCTGGGTGCTGCTGTACTTCAGGGCAGAGCAGAAACCCTGGAGAGCTGGGGCAGGAGGTCTTTGTGGCTTTAACCAAGCACCAAACCCAGGATTGAGCGTCCCTGACCCTCTACGGGTGAGATGCTCCATGGGTGATCCATTTGGGGCTTGACTTCTGCTTCCTCCCACATCTGGGCTGTGACACAAGGGCACCTCCCTGGCTGCTTCGTCTGTYGAAACCAACCCATTTCCTCCAAGTTTTGTTGAGGCGAGAGGGACAACGGGGCCACCCAAATTCCCTGGGGATGCCATTCCCCTCCCAGTGTTGAGGTGGCCTGAAGAATAGTGATGCTGTGGTCTAATGATGAATAGGATCCAGGGGACTTCTCTGGGGAGGACACAGAATGAATTTCTTCTTGGTCCAGAGGAAGYCATACTGCTCAAGCCCTGGGGGGAGGTCCATCTGAGAGTGGGTCTCCCCTCAACCAGCCTCTGCGGTCTTGGCTGCCAACTTCCATATCCTGTAGCCTCTCAGGTTTTGGCTTTCACGAAGCCATGGGGTTGGTGGAGGGCATTGTTGGCAGAGGGTCCCTTCACCTAAGCCCATTACCATCTTGTCTACCAACCACAAATGACTCAGGAGGAGGGGTGAGATGGATAGAGAGGGTCGTTGTATCTGGTACCCAGGGCTCTGAATTCGCCTCTTTGGTCTATACCCTGTCGTGAACAGAATTTCTTATGTCAGCAGGCTCTGYGTGCAGAATCTCCTTAGTAGCCCTTCATGGTACCGAAGGGCCCTCAAGTAAGATCAATGTGTAGGACTTTCTGGGAGGCAGGGAGGATAGACTTTCAGCATCAGTTCTTCCTGCTCTTTCAGCATTCTGCTGCGGGAAGCTGGGACTTCAGTGTTCACATGAGTGACTAGGAAGCTCAGATCTGTGGGAGAACCTCTTCATGGCCTTGAACTTGATCTGGTTTCTCTTGGCTTTTATCCCCTAGGTCTTCCTCCCCACCTTAGCTGTCCTTCATACCTCAGCACTCTGTTGGGTTCATTCCACTTTGATCCAACTACTGTTCATGTCTGATTTCCGATTAAATCTTAGAGACTGTAAGAACGATTTTCCTAACTTGAAAATGAGAAGGCAGTAGAAATCTATAGCACGTGCCACATTTCCTTGTGAAATATTGGAAGCATTCCTGTTATAGCCATGGGACCCAGTAAGGATGTCTATTATCACTACTATCATTTAACATTGTATTGGATTCCCGGTCAGTGCAATAAGACAAGAAAAAGAAATAAGAGAGTCGAGGAGTACAGTGGAGGTATCTTGTATTCCTGATTCTGTGATGGGACTGATATTGGATGCCTCGAGAGGTAGAGATTTCAGTGCATGTTGGAAATCAGATATGGATCTTATCTTTAAGGAGTCTCAAGTTTAGTGCTGGGGGTGGTGGGGAGAACTAGAACTTTAAGATGAGGTCATTCATAATAAAAGAGGTATGGAGAAAGCTCTGTGGGAGAGAAGAGGTCACTAGCAGCTGTGTGGAGGATGGTGTTAAACAACCTTGCAAGATGGATAGGATTTGAAAGTGATTGAGGACTCAGTGGACACAGAGAGGTCGTGGCAAGGATAGGAAGGCACAGGGAATGTTTGAAGAACAGTGACATGTGGAGAGCCTCGTAGACTGTTAGAGGGAGACTCAGGAAAGGCAGCCAGAGGTCTGTCTCRGGATGGTCTTAAATACCAGCCTCAGGAGCTTGAAGTTTACCACTTACCAACAGGGGAAATCATTCCTGTGGTTAGGCAGGGGAATGTGCCACACAGCTGGGGTTCAGGAAGCTGCGTCTGGTGAGACTGGGCAGGAAGAATGCAAATGGGAGAGATTTTGACCTGGGAGAGGTTGGGAGCTTATTAGGTCACCTTGGTAATGGGGACCAGATTAGGATGTGACCATGGGCATCCAAAAGAAGAGATGGTGCCACGGCCACAGTGGGAGTAGGGCCAGTCAATCACAGATTGATTGACAGTTGGGGGGATCGAGGATGGCTGAAAAGCACCGTGGTTCCCTCGCCCTGTGAGCTGGCTAGCGTGGTTAACGAAGCTGCAGGGTCTGAGGGGTCAGCGGAGCCTCCACACATGGCTGATGGAGTTGGATCTTGACCGAGTGGGAAGAGCTGCAGACCTGGGGATCTTCCTCCCAAGGGTGGAGGYTAGAGCTCTGGGCATGAATGAGATCTCTATGTCACGATCATGGAGGGAAGAGAACTTAGGTTAGAGTGGCCATGAGCAGAAAGGGAGGCTAGGAAGGGGGTCTGAGAACGATGCTCAGGGTGGTGACAGGAGCCAGGACAATGTGTCATCGCAAGGCCAGGAGAGTAAAGGGTTTCAAGGAGGAGGGGCGGGGAGGTGAGCAGTGTCCACTGGAGATACCAGGAGGAGGAGGAGCAAGAGACTAAGCCCCTGGATTTGCCAGTTAGGGGGCCTGGTGATTTTCAAAGGCATAGTTTTAGTGGAGTGCTGGTGACAGAAGCCAGACAGCAAGGGACCGAGGACTGAGTGGGGATGGAGTGAAGACAGCGTGCCAACTACTCTTTGGAGTGGTTTCATGATAAAAGGGGAGAGAAGGGCAGCCAAAGAGGTCAGCAAGACATCAGAGCTTTCTGGAGAGCTTGGGGTCGTGAGAATGCTCTCAGGTGAAGGACGGAGCAGGGGAGGCTGAAGACGGGAGGAAGGAGAGGAACAGAGAGGAGAAGAATGAAGAGATTGATGGAATCACGTCTCTGAGGCGGTGCGAGGGGACAGGCCTGGGAGTCCAGTCTGGGCCAGGAGCTCAGATACTTCTTCATGAAATTATAAAGAATGGATAAAGATATATGGAAATACTTGGTGTCAAACTTGGAGAGCTTGGATTAAGAACCCTGCCCTCCCCTATTTTTTCCCTTTTCTGTATGAATCCAGGGCTGAGTTCAAGGCCCATTCCATCCCTCATTCAGCAGGAGCTTGAATCTGTGCTACTCACTAGTCTAGGCTCTGAKAAAATGGTGGCAAACAACAGGTTAAGCCTTGGTCCTTCCGGCAGAGTTGGACACTGGGTAAATGAACAAGTAGATACAAAATTTTTCTGATGACTGACAAGTGCCATAGAGATCAAATAGTGAAGTGACAGTGATGGGGAGAGGGCAGGGGGTGGTTGCACTTTATATGCATGGTCAGGGGACGCTCCATGGGGCAACAAGGGAATGTGCCTCATGGGGCAGCAAGTTCAAAGGCCCTGAGGCAGAGTGTTCCTGGTGTGGCTAGAGCAGAGTGACCAACAGGAGGTCAGAGAGGTACTGGAGTGGTCCTGGCATATGGTTGGTCTTGCAGGGGATCCTAAGAACTTTTGTTTTTGCTCTGCATGGTGTGAGAAGCCTTAAAAAGGATTTGGTCCAAAGAGTGATGTCATCTRACTTGTCCTAAAAGGATCAGTATAGCCAGGATGGAAGGAGGGAGGCCCGTTAGGAGGCTGCTGCTCTCGATCAGGGTGGGAGCTGTGGAGGTGTGAGGCTGGGCTTGGATCATAGATGTGTTTTGGAGGCACAGCCAGCGAGAGGTACAGATAGACTAGATGTGGGATGTGAGAGAAAAAGCAAAGTCAAGGACGACTCTAACCTTGGAGCTGCTTGGTATTGAGATGGGTAAGATTTGAGAAGAGCTGGCCAGAGGGAACCGGAGTGTGATCTAGGGCACCTTGGGTGTGAGATGCTCATGAAGCATYTGAGATGGTCAGGTGGTAAGAATCAGGAGTTTCAGGGGACAGATTGGAGCTTAGAGATGTGGGGGATGTCGGCAGATGCGGGCCAGGTAAAGCTAGCAAGGGGGAGCTCACCTGTGGGGAGAGATCCCTGGGATCAAGGCTGGCCCCTGCTGGGCCTGTGGCCCACGCCTGTTATCCCAGGGCTCAGGAAGCTGAGACAGGAGGATTGTGGGTTCAAAGCCACCCTCAGCAATGGTGAGGCACTGAGCCATGCAGTGAGACCCTGTCTCTAAATAAAATACAAAATAGGGCTGGGGGTGTGGCCCAGTGGGTATCTTGCTAGCCAGCAGTAGGCCACCCGTCCTCTGGGGAAGCGAGACCCCAGATCCACCCTCTCTTCTTGCCGCACTCCCTCCCCGCCCCCTCCAGTGTGTGGCCCATCCCAGGCAGAACACCAGCTAATCTCGATTTTTCTCTTTGTTTGTGTTTTGTTTCGTCTTGTTTTGTGCCTGTCCCTGCATGCTCTGCGTGGCCTGTGTCCACCTGTCCCCTGTGCTTTCCTGGCCTGGTGTCTCCCCGCCCGCCTGCCTCCCACCCTTGCCGGCTCCCCTGGGGTTGGGGTGGGCAGCGTACAATGCCAAGCTGCAGGACATGGGGCAGGGTGGCCACTCCCGGGCCCCTCCTCTCCACCGGCTGCGATCTGCCTCCCTCTCTGGTTGGTCCCCTGTCCCCGCTCCCTTGGCCCTCAGTTTAGCTCCTGGTCTCTCTCTCTCTTCAGACCTCGCCAGCTGCCTCTCTCCCTCCCTGCCCCACTCCCTCCTGTCCCCGTCTCCCCTCTGCTGGGTGCTTGTCCTCTTTCCAGCTCTCCCTTGCGCTTTCTGCTCTCCCTGGTTTTCTCTCTGGCCTGCTCCTTACCCTCTCTTTCCTCCCCGTCCTCTCCAAGTCCTCTGTCCCTCCTCTCTGCATGAGCCTGGTCCCCGCTTCTGCATGGATGGGGCCTGATGCTTTCAGCCTTGGGAACAGGTGTGAAGGGGCTAGATGAACCCTCAGGGTCCCCACGGAGGTAAAGGCCTCCGGGGTGAGGTGCGCAGTGAGGGGTCCAGCACCCTGMACCCCCCTCCCCGGCAGATAGTCTGTGCTGGGGGTGGGGGGTCTCACCAGGAGGTAGGCTGTGCCTTGCTTGGGGCCAGCCACCGGGTGCAGGACAAGGAGTGGTCACCCAGCACCTGCTGCTCGGCCACTGGAGCATCGCACACCCTGGAGACAGAGTACTTCTGACCCCACCCCCATCTGATCCTAGGACCCACGGCCGAGAGTCAGAAGCCTGGGCTATGGTCCTGGCCCTGCCTGTGCTCACCCCCGTGACCTTGGGCAAGTCGCTCACCTGTTCAGAGCTCAGTTACCCAGTTTGAAAACTGGAGGGTGACAGCCCAGCCTCCAGTGTTTCGCACGGTGGTTTGGCTTGTCCCAGATGGGGGGGCCCCTCCCTCAGGGCCATGGTACTTTATCTGAGGATGATGATGTCCCCTGATGTCCACTCCAACTTCCTGGACAGCAGATCCTCAGGCTCGTAGTCCTGGGGAGAGAATCAGCTGGTCTTTCCCAGCTGTTGTGAGCCTCAGGCTGGTGTCAGGGAGGGGACAGTGTGCTCAGGCTTGTCCCACACCATGGCCTGAGAGGCGCTGGGAACCAGTGACGGCCAATGGCGCTGCCTGGTGCCTCTTGGATCCTCCTTCTCCCAGTCCATGGATAATCGGGAGATGGCTCTAAAACCCTGTCCCCCGTCCCCCTCCTTTCCCGCTGCCTTTTTCTCAGCCCTGTGGTGGGGAGTGCAGTGTCCAGCCGGGCCTGGGCTGGGCGGGTTCCTGGGGTGGTGTGTCCTGAGGGGAGCTGGCATGGCTTGCCCTAGGGCTGCTAGTGTGAGCCTCTGCCGTGTGGCTTTCTGGTGCCCTGGCCTAGCAGGTGGCCTTCCTCCTGGATCCCCTTGCTCCTGGAGCCCCAGGCATGCAGTCGGACACCCCGTTCCCGACCTGGAGCTGAGGAAGCCAGTCTTCTGGAAATTGGAAGATTGGGAGAAGAGCTGGGTCTGTGGGGGTGGGAGTGGCCACGGGGTGGGGGAAGCTGACACCAGGGAGTTTGTCCCTGTGACTCGGGTGGGAGAGGCAGTCCTTTACCAAAGTGTTGGGGCCTCACGCCCAGAATTGCAGGGTGTGCGTGTGTGTACGTGTGTGTGTGTACGTGTGTGTGTGTGTGTGTGTGTACGTGTGTGCGTGGTGAAGGCCGGGGTTGTCTCAGGTCTACCTCATGTTAGAGGAGCCTCGGGAGAGAGCTGTCCCCCAACAGCACCCTCCTGGGCAGCAAGATGGAGTGCCCTGGGCGGTGGGGCTGCCTGGCCTGCTCCTCCCCAGTTGTGGGGCCATGTGGAGGCTCTGGGGCAGAGGTGCCTGCCATCCTCTCAGGGCCGAGGGGAGGACCTCAAGCTATTGYGTGTGAGCAGCCCTTAGAGGGTGACCCAGGCCCCTTGGCGGGTGATGAGATCCTGAAGACCACCTTCTTGTATCAGTGCATCTCACTTCTCAGTCTTCTTGGAGTAGAGTGCTGGACTTGCTGGCCTGGCTGGGAGAACCTTCCAGAATCCTGCTTTTCTTGGCTCCTTTCTTCACCAGCTTCCCCTGGCCATATGGCCTTCTGCAGGGGTGGGTGGGGCTGACTGTAAGGGTGCTGAGGGCCCCACCAAGATCCCACCATCCCGTGCCCCGTCGCCCTTCCTGTCCGGTTGGCTGGAGGTGCGTGCACACTTGTGTGCATGTGTGTCTGTGTGAGTGTGCATGTCGGAACCAGAGGCCCTGAGGGAGAGTGGGGCTGGGGGACTGAGGAAGTCCTGGGTGGAGGGTGGTGGCCTGGGGCAGGCTCTGGGACGTGGGAGGGGGCTGTTCTCCCTCTGACACGGGCTGTCAACTGGGGTCCAGACGTCCCAGCTTGGCTCAGAACAATGGGGCTCTCTTCTCTTCCTCCATCATGCCCGGCTCCCCTCCCTTGGAGAGTGACAAGAGAGAGGGAACGAGGTTCTCCAGGCACTCCAGGGCAGCTCTGGGCTTGCCAAAGGGGACAACAGTGGGACACTGTGTTCAAAGAATGCAAGTGGCCCTGAGTGGCCACTGGTGCCAGGGGGCACTCTTTGGGGGGCGGGGCTGGCCCCGTGGGAGTGGAATGCAGGGTCTTCTCCTTCTGAAGGGGGAGGCTGTGCCCTGCAGCTCCCTGGCTCTTCAGAGGTCATTTGGTCCATCCTTCTGCCTCTGATCAGAACGCTCTCCCGCGTGCCAGCTGGTGGTGGCGAAGGAGCTGAGAAGGCACAGCTCTCTGCATGCCTGGCGTCTGGCTCCTCCACCATCAGCAAGGCCACGTTCAGTCCAGCCTCCTGTCCTGCTGCCACGGTTGACCGTGGCCCCTGGGCATGGATGCTACTCAGGCAGTGTCTCCAGTGGCAACAGACCGATTTTCCCAAGGGCAAACCTCATCAGATCACGGGACAGGGAAACCGGCCACCTCCTGAAAAGGCAAGGGACCGGCCAGAGGAGGCTGCCGGGTGGGTGAGCCCGGGACGGAGACCAGCCCTAATGTGTTTCTTCACCTTGGGGCTGAACTCAGTTCCAGGCCGGGAACCTTCCTCCTTTGTCACAGTATTATTAGAAAATCAGTGGCAACCTCTGCTTCTCTGTAATGTTTTTGCCGAATGACTGTAGCAGCAGCCCTGTCCACGCTGCCCAGGAGGCCCGAGTGGGGCAGGGCCTTGGCAGGGGAAGGGGAAGCATGGCCAGGGCCAGGGCTTCCTGCAGGCCTGGCTGAGCTGCTGGCCGCACAGAGCCTTTGAGGCCTGGGAGTCTGGACTCGCTGGTTGAGGCTGGTGTGCTCTGCCTTCCCGGGCCATGCCCTCCGTCCCTCAGGGTGGGTGCCCCTAGCAGCCCCTGGCTGAGGCTTATATRACTCCTGGTTTTCTATTCTGAAAATAAGGACATGCTGAGGTTGGCRGCTTATTAGCTGTAAGAGCAGTTTGGGAGTGGCAGTGAGGTTGTCCTGGCTGAGTGGGCAGGCAGGGCCTCTGGGTAAGGACCAAGGTGGGGACTCCAGGTATCCTCCACCTCTGCACCTTCTGGATTTAACCCGTGATCCCCTGACCCTCTGACTGGCTTATGGAGCACCCATCCCGGGAGCACCCGGGTCCCTGTCTACAGTGACTGCGTGTGGCGTGAAAGCAGGGGTGCGCCTGCCCCAGACTCGTCGGCCTACAGCCAAGAAAACAGGGGCTGCCCCGCATGCAGACCACTGTGGATGGTGGAGGGTGGTTCAGGCTGTGCGGTGGTGATCTGCTTGGCTGTACTGGCCTTTTCCTAGGGTCCAGCAGTGTGTGGGGTGTGTGTGTGTGTGTGTGTGTGTGTGTGTGTGTGTGTGCTCCCACGTGTGCCGTGGAATGGTTTTCTCAGAGGTACATCCCAGGTACCAGGCCCATGTGACCTAGGACCTTTGGTTAGTCCCAGTGGGGGTTAAGGCAGGGCTGAGAGTGTCCTGGAAGATAATCAGGTCTGAGGCCCACCCTTTGGGCTGGGTCTTGGCTCCTGGGACCTGGGAAGTGAATTTTCTAGGATTCCGGGAGCCAGTTCAGTGAGGCAATGGATTCCATGCCTCAGCCCAGCTGTGGGAAGAGAGTGGGAAGGAAGGAAGGAGGGCGAGGTGAGCACTGTGCCCGGCCTGCGGAGGGGGGCCTGGGGTTGGGAGTGCTGAGACGCAGATGGAGAGCATGACCTCTGTGCCTGCCCTTTGCAGGGAGGGGCCGCTGGGAGCCGTGGCCATCTTTGGAGTGAGAAGAGTGGGTGCTTAGCTAAGGGGCCAGTAGGAGGGAGGTTGGTAAGAAGTCTCAGAYGTACACCAACGGAGGTTGGGGAACCCCAGAGAAGGCTCAAAATATCCCAGTGGCCAGTTGGGCTGAGGACTCCACAGCGAGAATAAATCGTTTCTTTGTTTCTTCTTGGGAGCACCATTTTGCAAGATGATGCAATTTATCCCCTTCCAAAAGTTCCTCCCCACGGGCTTGATGTTGCCTGTTGGTTGATGCAGTTGCCTTGGAGACCCTCACTTCCCTCCACCTCCCCTCCTGTGTCTGGAAGCTCTGGCCCTCTGCCTCTAGGGGCTGGACGGAGCTGACATCTGTTTCTTGTATCAATCCTTTGTGCTCTTGGTCCCAACCCTGTGTGGAGAAGCGATTCCTGGCGATTCCTGGCCCTGTCCAAGCAGGTCCCCCACCCTGCAGAGAAAACCCAGGGTGTGAACAGAGTTGGACCCAGGAAGGCTGGGGGAGGTGCAGAGGGGAGGCTGGCCCGCTCCAGCTTGGCCCTGTGCTAAGGGGCGCTGCCTTCTCTGGGGCGACTAGGAGGGGTGGAGTATTTCTCCAACAATATGCTCATCGCCCTGCATGCCTTGCCATTCCTCCCAGGGGTGCAGGCTCGGGAGAGGCAGCCTGCGGAGCCCCCAGCCCCACTCCGGAGGCGGGCAGCCAGCGATGGACAGTATGAGAACCATTCTCCTGAAGCCACATCCCCCCGTAGCCCTGGGGTTCGCTCCCCTGTCCAGTGYGTCTCCCCTGAGCTGGCTCTCACCATCGCCCTCAATCCTGGAGGGCGGCCCAAAGAGGTGAGTCCTTGAGCTGCATCCTGGGGCCACAGAGGGCAGCACTGTGGCAGTGACCCATCAGTGAAATGCAGAGTTTTTGCCTCCTCGCTTCCTCACCCAAGGCCGTTTCTCTGGCATGTGGAATCTGGAGCCCATTTTCTCCCTCCAATAGCTTTTACGCCCTGTTACTTTCTTGATTTCTAAAGAGAGTCCCTTTGTAGTGTGATAAGGATCCTAGGGATGACATAGATGACCTTCATCTTGAAAGTCCAAACCAGGTTGTATAGACTGACAAAATATTCTTGAGCCTTTTTCAGAAATAAGGGTTTTCTTGGAAGAGTTAGTTTTCATGCCCAGAAGAGTGCATTTCTGAGACATTTCAGTAGTCGGAGGCAGAGGATCTCAAACTTCAGTGGGGAGTTTGTTAAAACTGTTGATTCCCAAATCCACCTCCAGAGATTCCAGCATAGACATTCTGGGATGGGACCCAGGAATCTGCATCATAAACATGCACCCTGAAAAATTCTGATGGTCCATGGCCACATTGAGAGATACCAGTGGGTGCTGTTGTATAAAACCCAGAGTAGAAAGGCATTCTGGATGCCAGAGGCCCTTGCCTCTTTTTTCTCTTGCCTTCTGGCAGGATGCAAGGCCCCTGCCTTCAGCYCCTTCTCTGTAGCCGTGTTCAGAAATACTTCCAGTTCTGCCTGAGCTTGCAAATGGCCACTCCCCCACTCTCTCTAGTTCAAGGAGTTGTTGGGGCTGTGAGTGACCAAGATCTCCCTTTGACCTCTGCACTTACCTGAGCAGTGGCAGAGAGTCAGGCTGGGGAGGGAATTTGTGACCTTGACCTCATGCTCAAGGTCATCTGAAGGGGGACCTCCTCTTCTCAGGGCTTCCCCCTTTTCTTCCCCTTTGTCCCCCTGCAGCCCCACCTGCACAGCTACAAGGAGGCCTTCGAGGAGATGGAGGGGACCTCTCCAACCAGCCCGCCGTCCGGTGGGGGTAAGAACTCCCTGCTTAAGCCTATCCTCCCCATGGCCCTCCTGACCTCATCTTAATCTTGACCTATGCAAGTGCCCCAAGTATGGGGGTGGGGTGGGGGCAGTGTGCCAGCAGAGGTGCGTTCAGCTGAAATCTCCTGCTTCTCACTTCCCTGAGTCAGGCAGGGCTAGAGTGGGCCTCCCCCACCCCCACTCCCTTATTTCCATTGYACCATCTTCTCTCCTGTCCCTTCTGGGATGAGGCAGCCCCGGTCTTGGGATCTGGATTGATGGCCCGTGGGACCCTGGCTTCTCATAGTATGGAGTTTTCTTAGTTGTTTGAGACTTTTTTGCCTCCTATGCTCAAAAGATATTCCATCCGAATATGACTCTTGGTGACTTCACCTTGACCTCTTTTTCTGACCCCCATTTCTTTCTGCATCCAGACCCTCTTCTGCCTCGAGCAATCTATGTAGTTCCAAGCAAGGAAAGAAAGGTCTGGGACTCAGGCTGGCAGAACCCCCATCTCATCTGACCTTGGCCTCCAATCAGAGGCCTTTAGTCTGTAGCCTGCCTATACGGCTGGGGAGGCAAATTCCCAAAGGGCCACCAAAGGGAAGAGTGAAAGAGGCCAGGAGCACGGCAGCCATCCCTCTTATAGGGGAAATACCTTGACCTGGGGGAGGTGGCTGTGGTCAATGCAGTGACAGCATCCTGTCAGGTCAAGAGACACTCGGGTCCCCATGAGAGGCCCAGATCAGCAGAGCAGAGGAAGCAGGTTCCGGGGATCCTCAGGGGTGGGTTGGCTGGTCCAGGCCCAAGCTGTGCATTTGCCCTCACGAGAGGGGAGGTGGCTAAGGAAGGGTGAGCTGCAGCTGGCTCTGTGTCCCTTGGGGCTGGCTGTCCTGCACAGGGGTAGAACGTGGCAATAGTGCACGTATTCTGTGTGCCAGCAAAACTGTGCTGGCTGCCATCTTGAGGAGGCCAAAACTGTGACAGATCAGCAGCCCTGGCAGCCCTGGCAGCCCTGGCTCTGGCCGCGGGTGGACACAGAATACGAGCACCCTCACCATTAGAATTCTCTAGTAGTCGGGCCGGGATTGTAGCCCAGCGGTAGAGCGTTTGCCTAGCATGTATGAGGCACTGGGTTCAATTCTTGGCACCACATAAAAATAATCCTTTATTTTTATGTATTGTATAAAACAAAGATATTATATCCATCTACAACTAAAAAATATTTTTAAAAAATTCTCTAGTAACTTAAAAAATCATGACCTGTTGAAATTAATTTTAATAMCATTTTTCTAAGTCCAAACTATTATCATTTCAACAGGTAAATCAGTCTAAAAATACTGAGATAATTTTACAATCTTTTTTAAACATGTAAAAAGATAATGGTGACATTATTTTTAATAATCAGCTTTATTTAACTTCAATCTACATGATTGAGCTGTACTTTGTTAATTTAAAAAATGAGATATTTTGTGTTCCTTTTGCACCCTGAATACTGTTGTGTATTTTGAACTGACAGCAYAACTCAGTTCAGATCAGTCAACTGCAAGTGGCCTTGGTGGCCTTGGGGGCCCTTGGCTGCCACACGGGAGCCACCTACTCAAGACACTCTGTAACCCGGTTGGCTCGATGGCTTCTCTTACCCAGTCCTGACCTTTGAYCTTCACCTCTGCCTCCTTTTGCTGTCAGGTCCAGCAGCCAARGGCTGGGTGTCCCCTTGCTTGGGATGGAAGCCATCAGGTCTGTCCTAGAATTGAGTTTTACCTTTTTCTCTCCCTCCCCCTGGCCAGCCCTGGGTGCCCTGGGGACAAGGATAAGTCAGAGCTTTCATAATGCACAGAGTTGGAGAGAGAGGATGGAAGGCGGGGAAATGCCAGGAATTTTTCTTTCAGGAAGCAGAGGGCGCCTGGCTTCAGTGCCACCCACTCAGCTGCCTCAGCAGAAGGGCCGCGCTGCCTGGGATGGGGGCGCTGGGGCGCGCGAGTCTCTGGCCTCTGGCCCCCTCTGATTTCTCTCTCTGGGGCCCTGCACCCTGATGCACCTGCTGGGTGGCATATGCAGACTTGCGGGCTGGAGCTGCTTCCCTGTCCCTGAGCCGGCGTCTCGGAGGTCAGGCTCGCTCTTGGTGATTATGTCATTTAATCTGTGCACTCAGTTGACGGACATTACTGAAGGCTTGAGAAGCGTCTATGAGCAGGATGTCATGTGGGGCAGGGGGCTGTGGGGATGGAGAGGTCTGGACCTACCTGRTACCTTGGAGGTGTGTTTGCCCACGTTTCTCCCTGTGCTGTATTTGTCCCTTGGTCATCTAAGGACAGTGAGGCTGGGGTGTTAGTGGGCCACCCATCTCCCTCAGCATGTGTGCACACCTGTGCCGGCCTGACCAAGCTGTGCATGTTGGTGACACTGAGAGGCTGTACTTGTCTGTTGCTGTCCCTTTCTTTGAAGCCTGTCTGTCTTGGGAAAAGCCAGCGGGCCCAGGGAGGGTGGCGGAGCTGTGTTTGGGTCCTGGGCGTCCGAGGGCCACAGCTAGTCCGTTGAGGCCACCGGTGAGAGGGAGTGTCCTCAGAGGCTGTGGCCTCTGTAGGTCTCCTTGCTAGGAGCCACAGAGCTCATTTCTTCTCTTCTCGGAGGTGTGTGAGGAGACGCAGCAGCTGTCACCAAGACATCTCGTGACTGGGCATGACACTGCCCAGCAGCTCAGCTGAGTCCTTGGCTGATGGGAAAGAGCCTGACAGCCTTTCTGACCTGGTGTTATGTGACACTTGTAACCCAGATGGGCGGCTGGGCGGAGCCTGGCTGTGCACAGGAAGCTGGGGCTCTTGGCCAGGGATTATTCTCAGGCTTCTCCTTCTCCCAGGACACTGAGGCTGGGGGTACGGAGCCCCACACAGAGACAGTCCCTCGCTGRGATTGTCAGGGACACACCTGGTGGAGGGCAGGCCTGAGGCCCAGCCCGTGGTCCCCTTTCAGCCCGTGGCCCCCTTCTGCTGAATCTTTATCTTCMCTTGTCTTCCTCTAAGTCCATCACGTGCATGGGTTTGAAAGGCTGTGTGTTTGTTTGTGTCTGTGTGTGTGTGTGAGTGAGTGTATAAGTGTGTGTGTGCATTGGKTGGGGGGATGTTGGGTAAAGAGAATGATGAAAGAGAGAGAGAATATTCTAGAGAGAGGCAGAGAGAGCCGTGTATATACCGTAGGGCAGAGCAGTGAGAAGGGCCGCAGTGAGAAGCCAAGGGCCGAGGGGTAGGAATGATTCTCTCAAGGTTGGGGACAGGGCCAGGACAAAGGACGTCATTTCCTGACTCTTTCCCTTTGTCCTTTAAACTGCTGGAATGTGAAGAAACACAGGGGACTGGAAGGGCCGTGGAGCCCCAGTGTGGGGTTTGGGCTGGCTCCGGTGGCCCAGCCCTGGCCACCGGGCCCCTCGCTCTGTCTGTGGCGTGTCCCGCAGGGCTGCCCCATCCACTCACTCCAGGTGTCCTCTTTTTCCCTTTGGCACAGTGCGCTCCCCTCCAGGTCTGGCCAAGACACCCCTCTCTGCTCTGGGCCTGAAACCCCACAACCCAGCGGACATCTTGTTGCACCCCACAGGCGGTGAGTGACTGGCTGGGTGGACGTGGTGCGGGCGGCAGGACCCTGTGGCCTGGGCAGGGGATCTCAATGGAGGCTCCCGGAGTAGAGGTTCTGGAGACGCTCTGGACAGGAGAGGGAGCGGGCTCTATGCCACTYTGAGGTCAGGCCTCRGGGCCCTCGGTGCAGGGGTCAAGGTGACACATCCCTTGGCCACCTTCCTGCCCATGTGGCCCCTGTGGACTTTGGGATTTGGAGGCCTGGCTTCGGTTTCCTTGGACTCGGCCTGCTGTCTGCTGGGAGCCTGGCTCCCCRGTCCCTAGTGTGCTCTGAGCATTCTCGAGACGTCAGAGGCCACCTGCACTCGGGGTGTTCTCCTGGTCTGCCTCTGTGGCTCACAAACCTCCGCCTGAGAACTCATGACTCAGTGGCAGCCATTGCTGTCTGTCCCCTCCACAGCCCTCTCCCCCTTGGCCCTGGATCTCTCTGGCCTGTCCAAGGCCTTGCTGGTCTCCTGGTCCAAATTCCTCATGCTGGTAGCCTTTGACCCTGYTGTTGAGGACCGGAGCCAGGCTACCTGGCTGCCCCCTCCTCTCTGGGCTCCAGCACCCTCCTGTCTCTGTAGTAGAAAGTGGGCCTCCTCAGGTGCCCACTCAGGCTGTCCTCTGGAGCAGGTGCTCRGGGTCATGCCTCCCACCTCCTGTCCCACCTCCCACTTCCTCTCCTTCCTGTGGGGTGGGGGTGGAGGCAGGGGGGGCCCTGGGCTCTGAGTGGCAAGATGGAGCCAGTTCAGTCCAGAAAACTACTTCTAGACGCTGGTTTCAGGGCGGAGCTGGGTCTTGGGGTCAACKTTAACCTTCTCTCCTTAGCCACCAGGAGACTGGTCCAGCCAGGTAGGAGGGCAACGGCATGTATCTGTGACCCACACAGACACTGGCTCCCACGCAGGAGGTCACTCCTGACCAGCATGGCTAGGGACACTGAGCCACGGGAGGGGAAGGGGGCTGGGGCTGCCTTTCACCTGCCAGCACGTGGCTTCTCGAGACTCGGCCCACATGAGCCCTGGCCGCAGGGGCTGGGAGAGGGACAGGCTCCCGCGTCAGTGTCTAAACTGCACCCTGGACTCCTGGGTCCTGCACAGGGTGGGYCTCAGCCCTCCCCTGAGCTCTTTGTGGAGAGCCCAGCTCTTTCTCGGCCTCGGCCTCCTTCACTCAGCCGATTCCTTCTCCAGGAACAATCCCTGTTAACCAGTCTCTCTCCTTCTCTCTCTCTCTCCCTCTCCCTCTCTCTCCCGATGGTTCTTCCTCCCATCTCCGTCTCCTGCCCCTCTTTCCTGCCTCTTCTTCTTGCCTGCCTTCTCCTCTTCCCTCGGAGGAAGATGAGGGGAGGGAGCTGGCTAAGCTTCCAGAAGGTAAGTGCGGCTGGTGTGCGGCTGCTCCGGGTCTGGGAATGGCTTGTCACGCATGGCAGCTCAGGGACAGCTCTCTTTTCTTACCTGGTCTCAAGTGACCAGGCACATGGCCTTCCTGTCCCCACTCCCGGACAATGAAATATCACCCGGGCACCACCTGAATCCTGTCTGGGGAGCTGGGAGCCACTGGGCGCTGGTTCAGGCACAGCCAGTGTCCAGGCGCCAGCTGGTGCCAGTTTGTGGACAAAAACGTCTCTCCTGTCACTTCCTCTGCCAGTGGCTTTGTGCCCGCCGGCCTGGTGTCCAGCCACGCAGAGGGGTCTGGAGGGGTCTGTCCGAGCCGGGCTTCTGGCCCTGTGGCCATGGTGGGCGGACAGTTCCTGGCTGTTGGCTTCCTGTGCACTGAAGGGCGGTTGGCGGCATCTCTGGCTCCTACCTACTGGGTGCCAGAGCAGCACCCAGTCATGACAGTTGAAGATATCTCCAACATGGCCAGTTGTCCCTGTTTCAGAGCCACTGTCATAGATTCACAACTTGCCTCCAGGAAGGCCCTATCCACACAGACAGCAGGAAGTCTGTCTTTCYGACATCTCAGACGCCTTTGGGAATGTCAGGAAAGCTGTGGACCCACCCGCCACAGTAGGGCAGTGGGACACCCATGCACAATGTTCTGAAGAGTTGGGCGTGGTGGCCCAYGACTATAATCCCAGCAGCTCAGGAGGCTGAGGCAGGAGGGTCGCAAGTTCAAAGCCAGCCTCAGCAACTTAGTGAGACCCTGTCTCAAAATAAAATATAAAAAAAGCCTGAGGATGTGGCTCAGGGTTCAGCCCTGGTGTATAAAGAAAAGAGTTTCAGGAGTTAGCAGGCCATGGGCCCGGGCCTCCCCCTGATTAGGATGAGCCTGTCCTTGCATTGTGACCAGCAGGCAGAGAGGGAACACAGTCTGGTGGAAGGCCTTTGATCCACTAGGGACAGAACTCAGAGGAGGACTCGGTCCAGTGGGCGAGATGAGGGGGGTGTTTCTCTAGGGACTCTGTGTGGTTCTCCGGGGCCACTGTCCTTTGTACACACCACGTTGGTTTCCAGCCCCAAAGCCGGCTAGACCCCTCTGAATCTGCCCTCCCCAGGTCAGGCRGTTGGAGAAAGTTTTGCCTCTGTCCAACCAGCTTGAGTTTGGGTGGCATCCTGGGATGCCTGGGCGTGGTGCAGGTCCTGGGGCTGAGCATGCGCCGGCCCCTCCGTGCCCCTCCCCAGCCGCATACCTGGGAAGGGGCTGTCTCGGGCTGGAGGCCAACTTGCTGGTTCTCCGAAACGCCGGTGCAGCTGGGGTGGGGCGGCTGGCACGAGCCGGGCCATGGCTCTGCTCTCTGATGGCGCAGCTGGCTCTCGGTCCCCCGCGTTGGCAGGCTCGGGCGCACAGGTGGGCTGTCAGGTGAGAAGTCCCCAGCGGCATCCTCCTCCTGGCTGGCAGGCCTGGCTGCTGTGGCTCCCGCCTTGAGGGGGCTCTTCAGAGGAGCAGGTGGTGACAGAGCTGAACTGAGACCCGCCAAGTGAGCCTGTGAATGACCCTCAGCTTACAAGCTGCAAGTCCCCCACCCCTGCCACAGAATTGGGAGGGGACGGCTAGGGATCAAGACAGCCATGCCCACACCTGCCATCGTCCAGGACRAGGAGCTGAGGTCTGTTAGGGGGGGCAGGGGGATCTGCCCAAGGTCACATTTGGGAACTTGGGAGGTGACAGAACCAAACTGGAGTTGGGCCTCCTGTCAAGTGGCCATTTCAAGCCCTCCCCTGCCTCCAGGCCTAGGCTCCAGGATTGCAGCCTGGGAGCCAGAATAGCTGCCCGGGCAGTGGGCCAGGGGGGGCAGGGGCAAGGCTGTGGCGACCTGTTGCGCATTTCCTGACCCAGGCAGCACCTCCAGAGTCAGACCCGGCGCATTCCTTGCTGACCCTTGGAAGCTCTGCTTGACTTCCCTGCTGATGATTTAATGGGAAATTCAGAAAAAGAAGTCTGTGGAGGGAAATGATGAGTGGGAGAATTATTCAGCTGGAGGAAATGAAGAATTTGGGGGACATTTGTTCTGTTCATCACTGTGCTCTAYATATTCATGCATTCTTTGATTTGTTGATTCAAAAAATATTTTGTGTGCCTATTGTGTACCAGGACTGTGCCAGGCTCTGGGGACATAACGATAAGCAGTATGAGACATGGTTTCTAGTCTTACGGCGCCTAGGCATGAACAGGAGCCAGAATTATGAATTAAGTGCTTTGGAGGAAAGGGATAAAGTTTCATGAGACCTCATGGCAAAGAACATGACCCAGGTTGAAAAAGTAAGATGTGGAGGTGAGTTGCACAGACCTGGTGAAACTCAGATGTGAGAGCAAAGGGAAATGGCATGTACAAGGGCCCTGGGGTGGGAGGGAATAGCATGTCGATAGCAGGTGCAAAGTCCCGAGGGAGGAAGTGACAGTGTTTTTTCTAGGAACAGAGAAGTCAGGAGGCTGGAACACAGGGCCAGGGGGTGTTTGGTATGGAGTGAGGTTGAACAGGCAGGAGCCAGGTCACAGAAGTCATTGTCATCACAGCAGTGCTGAAAGGAAGGTAGAGCAACCCGTTTTATCAACCAGGGAGATTACATGACCCGCCCAGGCCCACAGTAGTCAGGGGCACAGCTTAGCGCTGACGCAGGATCAGGGAGTGGAGGCTGCTCCTTTCCAAGTGACTGCGCTGGGTGTAAGGGACACTTCAACATTTGAATGGTGACTTCACTGGGCGTGGGGCCCCAGGGCCCTTCTCCTTGAGAGAAGGAGGGGAGGAAGCACTGAGGTAGGAGCACAGGTGGACATGAGGATTGGCCTCCACGGCAGGGGACGTTCAGGGTAGGCTCTCAGTGCGGGTGAAGACGGGGGCTAGGAGTGACCTCTGGGAGGCTTGTTATGGGTGTCCTGGGGCAGAGCCTCTGATGCAGATTTATTGAGCACATACTACGTGCCAGGCCCTGTGCCTTTACAACTGAGGATATGAAGATGGAGTGCGGCACCCCAGGGAGGGCGGAGACCCCAGCAGGTAGGCAGAAGGGCTGAGCCGGGCAGGTGGGTATCGTGGTGGGGGGGCGTGGAGGATCTGCAGCGTGGTCAGAAGGGTCTAAACTTTTAACTCTGTGCTGTTGGATATGGGACTCAGTGGGGGGGGTCTAATCCTCCTTCTCTTTTTCCCCCCTGTGTGCTGAGGCGGGACCCCAGGCACTGGCACACACTGGGCAGGAGCCCTGCCACTGAGCCACACCCCAGCCCCCCCGGGGGCCCTTCTGCTCAGCTGGAGTTTGGGGGAGGTAGAAAGTGCCCTTGAGGGTGTCAGGAGGAGCGGGCCCTGGGCTGGAGGAGCCAGGTCCTCCTGGTCCCTCCAGCTGCTCTCAGCCGCCAGCAGCCACTTGGAGTGGGTCTGGGCTCCTGGAATGTTCTAYCCCAGCACCCTGCCCAGCCCCACCTCTCCCGCCCTTCCCAACTCCGTTGCCTGGGGTGGGCTGGAGTGGAGCCGGGGCTCAGGGGAGGGCGGCCGGGTCCAAACTGGACTAGCAAGAAGGCGTCCAAGGAGCTCTCCTGTGAGTCCAGGAGAGTGCGCTGGGCGGGGTCGTCCCCACCTTACAGATGAGGGGCTCTCGGGGGTGACAGAAGGGGCGGGGCAGCCTGCTGTGCTGTGGGAAGGACGGGGAAGCCGAGGCAGAGACAGAAAAGGCGGCCTTGGAGGTGGCCCCGGGTCTGAAGGCTGGGAGACCCACATCTGGCTCCTAGCGCTGGTGTTGGAGGTGAACTCCCCAGGGACCCCGCTCTCTGGGTCCYGGAGCACAGAGGTGGCGGGGAGGGCCTCGCCCCTCCCGACCCCTGGTTTGGGACTGAGGGACAGGAAGGAGAGGGGCAGAGGATGGGGGCAGGGCGTGGGTGGGGCAGGTCCCTGATGGGCCTCGCTGTTTCCTGACTGTGGCAGGCACACGGCAGCGGCCTCTCCCTGGTAAGCGGTTCTGTCCCCGAGTTCTGGCACCTAGTCCTAGAAGCTGAGGGATCGGAGCCGATGGCACTGACGCCCTCAGAACGTGGCCGGCTTGGGTTCTGGCGCAGGGTCCCGCCAGCCCTCTGTTGTCACCTTCCCCGCTCACAGCTCAGCTGGAAGAAGGCAGTGGACTAGCAGGCCACCGGGGATCAGCCACCAGGGGCCCAGGCTCCTCCTGCTGTTGGAGCTTCTCTGAAGCAGCGCGGAGGGTGACCGAGCTGCTTACCCAGAGTGTGGGCCGAGGTCTTGGTGAACCACTATGGCGTCCGAGGAGAGTTGAGCCAGAGTTACAAAGTCCGGGCAAACCAGGGAGAGCCCTGGGCACCCAGCCTTGAAGGAACAGGGGAGGGCTGGGGAGAGCCACCAGGGCTGCGGCCGTGGGTACAGGGATGCAGCCACCGACCCCTGCCTCCCCCTGCCAGACCCCCTGTGTCTCACCCGGAGCCAGTGGAGCCACAGGGCAGGGGCCTGGTGGGCAGTAGGTGAAGCAGCACTAGGGAGGCGGGGGAGCGGGACAGTGGCTGAGGATGGAGAGGGGGTCAGAGAAGAGGACAGACCCGCAGGGCTCACCTGAGCAGGCTTCACCTTGAACTCCAGGGAGCGAGAAGACCCAGTGCCACGTCTCGGGCCCCTGGTCTTCCTCGGTGGGAACGGGCTGCAGGGTGGGCGTGTGGGTCGGAGTCTGTGGGACAGGCACGTGCCGAGGCCTGCTGTGGGCCAGGTGCTGTGTGGGGCACGGGGAACACCCCTGAGCCCTGTCCCCCTTGCTGTCCTGGGTGGGAGAGGACAGGTGCTGCGTGCTGCAGGGACCTGAGCGAGGCGTGCTGAGCACCAGGAAGGGCCTGGGAAGCTGTGGAGCGGCCTGAGGCGGTGAGGGATGAGCAGGGAGGACCCTGGCCTGGGTGTCCTTCACTTTTCTCTGGGTGTGACTCTCTGATGGTCCTTTTGCCAGAGGGGGTTACTAGCCCAGGACAAGGAGCCAGTTCCTCAAGACAAGACCAAAGCCACCCTGAAACCATGGGCTCCCGAGTTCAGACCGTCGGTGGGTCAGATGGCCTCTCGGCCAGCCTCCCAGGTTCCCAAGCTGGCTCTGCCACCTGCTAGCTGTGTGGCCAGTGCACTGTGCTCCCATCCTTCAGATCCTGCTTCCCTCACGTGGCTGCTATTTTTCTAATTATGCATAGCTCTCAGAATTGGCACTCCTGTGGCTGGTGGCTGGCGTGCTGGATCGCAGCCAGCTCTAGGTCTCCCCATGAGACAGTGGTCCTGTTGTGGTCCACCCCTGATGACACTCTGAATGTGGAGACTGGGATGCTGGTGTCCACGGCCATGCCCTGGCTGTGTGTTCTGGGCAAATTTGCTCCACCTCTCTGGGCTTAGGAGACAGATAGATAGATCAAGGGTCAGCAAACTCTGGCAGCYGGCCAGGTTCTGCCTGCCAACTATTTTTGTGAGAAAAATTCTATCGCAACATAGTCATCTCCATGCCTTGAGCTATTGTCTCCAGATGCTTTCAGGCTAGGACAGTAGGACTGTGTACTTGCGACAGAGGCCCTCTGATYTGCCCCGCCTTAGATGTTTACTAGGGAGACCTTTACATACCAGCCCGGATCAGAGAGGCCTCTGCAGGGCCTGGGGCTGCAGAGCGGAGAACGCAGCCTCCTTTGTTCTGTTGGCCTGGGACTCCCAGGAGGTGTGGTGGCTTGGGCTGCTTGAGGGAGGCCTTGCTGGCTCTGCCCACTGCTGGACTCCAGCTTGGGGGCCCAGGTGACTGGTCCTGTGGCAGCCTGGGTTAGACCACCCTCCCCACCCCTCTGCAAAGGGCCCTGGCCTGAAGGGTCACCCTCGTCTGTGTCCATGGCGGCCAGTGTGCCTGGGTGTAGCATGTCGGGCCTGGGCCAGCCTCAGAAAGAGGCTGCAGTAGGCGACACAAGGCCCCTGCCAACACCCCTTTCCCCAGTGGGGGGCTTCCTCGGGCTTGGGGAGGGGGTTGGCATTAGTTGCCCCAACCCCAGTCCTCACACCCCTGAGGGACCCAGGGGAGGGGCACTTCTCCCACTCGGTGACCATGACCATCTTGGTCAGCCAGGGCTGCAAGGGCCTCTTCAGGGCCGCATGGACTCTGGCCCCAAAGTGTCTCAGGCTGGTCTCCGCGGGTGCCCCAGGTAAGACAGAGTTGGGGCCTGTGCTCAGGCCTCGTCCCTTCTGGTGGGACAGGGACGGGCCAGGTTTGCAGGCGGTGGCATGTCCTCTGTCCCTGTTCACGTCCCTGGAGACTGCATGCCCCGCTTCCTCTTGCTGTTTAATATTGGGCTAGTTTCAGAGTTGGCCTCAGAGGTGATGGAGGGAGTCAGACGTGCCCTGACCTGAGAGTCAGGGGCCCTGGGTCCCGGCTGTGCGTCCATCATGCCACTGTCCCAGCCTCAACTTCCTCATCTGTAAAATGGCCTTTCTGGCTCTTCCCCTTCCCTCCTCTTCTGACCTGGGAGTTTTGGATTCTAACCTTGGATCCTGTGTACAAATGTCCTCTCTGAACTGCCCAGTGCTGTGGGAGTGCCACAGATGCGCAGACAGTGTCCAGCCCCACCTGGGGACTGTTTGTCTGGTGTCCATCTCTTGAGAAATGCTAAGTGCGTCAGGCAGAGACGGTGGGCGTGTCTTGGTATCCAGGCCTCAGCAGACCCAGGTCTGTTGCTAGGTGAGCAAGCCTGTATCTGACTCCAGGCATGGGGAGGACCCCAGGGCTGTCCCGGGACACGGGCCAGGTCAGATGCAGCTCCGGGTCCACTCTGGTGTCTGGGAGCCTGGAAGGGCCTGGGTAGCAGGGTCAGCAAAGGGGGTGCCAGTCATGGACAGATGGCCTGGTTCTTGGGTGGACGAGTCTCTGATGGCCGTGGTGCAGGGGTGGAGTTGGGGGCTCATTTCTGGAAAGGTTCTTGAGTCAGGCTCTGGTTAAAGGTTGTCTTGGGACAGGGTGGGAGTGGGCAGGCAGGAGCCCCCGGTCAAGTGTCCTGATGTCTTTTGGGGGGCTGTTCCTGTGCTGTCTTTCCCCTGTCTGCTTTGGGTGGCTGTGTCCCTGGCAGGTTGGGAGGGTCCCACACTGCACCTCTGGGGATCTGAGCTCCGTCTCTGTCCTCCTGCTCCTTCCAGAAGCCCGGAGCTACGTGGAGTCTGTGGCACGGACGGCAGTGGCTGGGCCCCGACCTCAGGATGCTGAACCCAAGAGCTTCAGTGCCCCAGCTGCCCAGGCCTATGGCCACGAGACGCCCCTGAGGAATGGGACCCTGGGCAGCTCCTTTGTCTCCCCCAGCCCTCTGTCCACCAGCAGCCCCATCCTCAGCGCCGACAGGTAAGTCCGGGTGGGAAGACTCGGGGATGAGAATCGCGGCCAGGGATGGGACAGCTGAGGCATCTTGGATCTTCCCAGGGTGTGGGCACAGAGAAGTCACATCCGGTCCATGGCACTTTGCAGACCCCTTCAGGGCACCTTCAGAGCGCTTCCCCTGAGTGCCAGACCTTAGGGGAGCCGGAAGTGAGTAAGCGGTCATTCCCCCAGCAGTGCTGGCAGGAGGAAGTGCGCCAGGTGAAGGGGGCCTTCCCCAGGTCTCAGGACAACCAGGACCCGGGCGGTGGGTGTTTGCGGGAGGCCGAGCACTTTGCTGAAAGCTTTGTGCAGATGTGGAACCTTCACAGTGGTCCCAGGAGGCAAGCCCCAGGGTCCCCACTTTCTGGAAGAGGCAGCTGAAGCACAGAAGTGGTTTCCTAAACTGAGCAGTGGCAGGGATAGACTGGAGGCCCAAGTGTGCGGTTCCGGGGCCCACGTCGCCCACGTCGCAATCTCCTCCCCAGACCACTGTGGTGCCYGCCCTTCGCTGGCTGGGAGCCAGACCTTCAAGAGCTGACGGAGAAGTAAAGTGCTTGGAGCTCAGAGCGAGGGGCCATTATCTTGGTCTAGGAAAGCAGGAGGGTCCCTGAGGGCTGGAACTCTTTGTGGGCCATCCAGGGGGTGAGCAGGATGTGGAGGGGCCAAGGAGGGAGAGARCATTTTGAAGGACAGCACAGGAAGATGCAGGTTAGAGTGGGGCGTGCAGATGGAGGAGAGGGGAGGCGTCCTGATGCGCGGCCCGCTGACACCCATCGTCTGAGCGCATCCGACACAGAGGAAGGCTGGGCAGTCCCTGCTCACAGGCTCAGTAGAGGGACGGCTGATGTGTGGGGTGCGGTGAGAAGCTGGTGCGGGGGAGGGAAGACTTCAGGCCCCTGGAGGCGAAAACAGCCCAGGAAAGGAAGCTTGAGACCAGCTTGGGCAAGGCCTGGAGTGCAGATGCCGGGCGGGGGTGGGGTGGGGGGGTGGGTCAGGGTGGGAGGACAGCGCTGGCCCCATGGAGGACCCAGTGCCTCTCTCTCCCTTTCTGAGCCCGCTCCCAGGGGCCCTCAAACATCCCAGCCCGCCCCTCACATTTCTGCCTCAGGCCCTACCTATGCTGGCTCAGGGGTGGGGGCTTGGTGAGCGGAGGCAGCTTGCCTCTGGGCTCTAAGGGTTCTGAAACCTGGAGCCAAACGTGCACCCCAACCCAGCCTGCCCGCCCAGCCTCCTGACAGGCCGCAGCACCCCAGCCCAGCCTGCCCGCCCAGCCTCCTGACAGGCTGCAGCACCCCAGCCCAGCCTGCCAGCCCAGCCTCCTGACAGGCTGCAGCACCCCAGCCCAGCCTGCCTGCCCAGCCTTCTGACAGGCTGCAGCACCCCAGCCCAGCCTGCCTGCCCAGCCTCCTGACAGGCTGCAGCACCCCAGCCCAGCCTGCCTGCCCAGCCTTCTGACAGGCTGCAGCAGCTCAGGAGGCCTGGCCCCTGCAGAGGGCATGCTCCCTGTTCAAGGGACAGGGATTTCGCCCTGCGCCGTTGCCCCCACAGGGAGCCCCGTGCAGGGAACTTCTCCCACATTCTTCCCGACGCCCCGTTGGCCCCTCTCAGGACTCCGGAAGCCGGTGTCTATGCCCTGAGATTCATCTTCTAGAACTCCGTGTCCGCATCCCTCGCCCCGCCCTGCTCGGCCTGCTGCATCCTCAGAAGCCAGTTTTTTCCCTCCTGGGAAATGACCTTCTGCCTGGCCCCTTCTGGGTGCAAGGCAGGCTGTGTCCTGGCCTGTCCCCTGCCTGTCCCCTGCTGTCTCCCTGCTCGTGGTTCTCGTCTGCCCCTAGAGCACAGTCCCACCAAAACCTCCTGGCACCCGGAGCCCCAGCCAATCCCACCCAGCCGGGGAGGGCTCAGCAGCAGAGACGCCCTCCTGCCCATGGCAGTTGGGGGCTTGGGCCCCTGGCTGTGTGAGGACCCCTTCCCTCCCTGGGGACTCCTGGCCCAGCCCGCCTGCCATCTCCCTACGGCTGCTGCGTACCCACGTCCCTGTCGACCTCTGTCTCTGCTGCTGCACTGCAGATGGGTAGCCGTGTGGGTCTGAAGGAGCAGGTCATCTGTCAGCCCCTCATGGCCCCCTAGGAAAACACGAATGAGGAGAATCCCTGCTCCCCAGCTCACAGGTCCCTGCGGTGCGGGCCTGCTCCCCCGTGTCACTCCCTAGGGGCCTGCGCTGCCCTTCACAGTGGAGCCCTGAATTRTGGCAAGTACTCCAGGCACGGTCCCATACGAACTGAATTTTGTCAGGATCTTAGAATTGGGAGTGACCTTGAGCTCATGGAATCTAATCTCCCCATGGAGGACCTTCCCTATGCAGCCTTTAGACCCGTAAGTCCCTCGGCCTCTGCTTGAGTTCTCCTAGTGATGGGAGGATCATTACCACTCAGGGCAGTTGCTCCATTAGTGGCCAGATCCGATGCCCGGAGAGCAGACCCTATAATGAGCTGAAATCCCTGCTCTGGAACTTCCCCCTTGATTCCCTCCCTCCCTCCCTCCTGTCCTCTCTCCCTCCTTCCCTCCCTCCCTCCCTTCCTCCCTCCCTCCCTTCTTTCCTTTCTTCCTTCCTTCCTTCCTTCCTTCCTTCCTTCCTTTTTGTTTTGAACCAACCAGGAGTAGAAGCCCAGTCCTGCCTGCTCTGGGCTTATGGTGACAGCAAACCCAGAGACGCAGTCAGGTGGCCCTCATAGGAATGGGAGCCAGGTGGTTTGCCTCCCTCTCCAGAGTGAGTCTCTGTGATGCTGGAGGCTTCAACAGGATGCCACCTTCAACTTTCATGAGGGAAATTTCTTGGCTTATGGCTCAGTAGTCAGCAGAGGGCTGTGGGAAAATGTGGGTTTTGGAGTCAGACCCAGCTGAGTTGAAACCCTGGGCTTTTATGAACTGTGTTGTCCTGAGTTTACTGTTGAACCTCTCTGACCTTCAGTTTCTTCTTCTGATGGATCCACGAGGTGATGTAAAAGCCCTGACTCTCTGGCCGACTGCAAGTGGAGCTATTATGGTTGCTATTAGTGGTTGGAAGGAAGCTGGGTACTTCCCTCCAGGACCCCTTTCATTAACTGCCATTTGCTGACCTCTCAATCTGTCCTCTCTCTAGCACTTCAGTGGGGAGTTTCCCATCAGGGGAGAGCAGCGACCAGGGCCCGAGGACACCCACCCAGCCCTTGTTGGATTCCAGCTTCCGCTCCGGCATCCTGGGGCAGCCCAGCCCCGTGGCCCAGAGAAGTTACCAGAGCTCTTCTCCTCTCCCGACCGTGGGCAGCAACTACAGCAGCCCCGACTCCTCACTTCAGCAATTCAGCCCCGCAGAAAGCCAGCCCCGCTCTCAGTTCAGTGTGGCCAGTGTCCACACGGTGCCCGGGAGCCCTCAGGCCCGCCACAGGACAGTGGGYACCAACACGCCCCCTAGTCCTGGCTTCGGCCGGCGGGCGGTCAACCCCAGCATGGCTGCTCCCGGCAGTCCCAGTCTGAGCCACCGCCAGGTCATGGGTCCACCTGGCCCTGGTTTCCATGGCAACACCATTTCCAGCCACCCAAGCAGCTCGGCCACCACCCCAGGGAGCCCCAGCCTGGGCCGGCACCCCGGGGCCCACCAAGGCAACCTGACCCCCAGTCTCCATGGCAACGCAGTGGCCAGCCCTGGCAGCCCCAGCCTGGGCCGTCACCTGGGAGGGTCTGGATCCATGGTTCCTGGCAGCCCCAGCTTGGACCGGCACGTGGCCTACGGTGGCTACTCCACCCCTGAGGACCGGAGGCCCGCGCTGTCCCGACAGAGCAGCGCTTCCGGCTACCAGGCCCCGTCCACACCCTCCTTCCCTCTCTCCCCTGCCTACTACCCGGGCCTGAGCAGCCCCACCACCTCCCCCTCGCCGGATTCTGCGGCCTTCCGGCAGGGGAGCCCCACACCGGCCCTGCCAGAGAAGCGGAGGATGTCCGTGGGCGACCGGGCAGGCAGCCTCCCCAACTACGCCACCATCAACGGGAAGGTGTCCTCCTCGCCGGTGGCCAGTGGCATGTCCAGTCCCAGTGGGGGCAGCACTGTCTCCTTCTCCCACACGCTGCCCGACTTCTCCAAGTACTCCATGCCAGGTGGGCCTCTCCTCCCGTRTCCACCTCTCCTGGGGCTGAGCTGAGTCCAGGAGTTAGGATATCTGTCCTCCTCTCGGGTCTGACAATCCCTTTGCAGACAACCCTGGGGTGGCCGACTGCTGGGCCTCAGTTCAGGGTGAGGATGAGGATGAGGTTGACGGACATGATAGCATTACTCTTAGGTACCTTCAAGCCACTTGTGAGCATGTACTCTGTGCCAGCCTCTGGGCTAAGTACTATCTTACTTAATCCTTATGACCTCCCCCCGCCCCCGCCCCTAGGTACAATTACTCCTTTTTACCCAGGAGCAAACTCAGGATTCCAGAGGTTCTGTTGTTTGCCCAGCATCCTACAGTTAGTAAGTGGCAGAGCTAGGCTTCCAGTCCAAGCCTGTTTTACCCCCAAACTAATGCTCTTTAGGCATTATTGGAGTTGTCTTTATCATGTGGCCATATCTTGAGGGCTGTTGTGATCTAGCATAACTTTGAAAGCGTGCCTTCCGAACCTGTGCCTCTCTTCCTTTGGTCAGCCCCAGGTACGCACAGATCTGGCAGCCAGACAGGATGTGGGCCGGGGCTGATTGACACGGGGTGTTCTTACCAGGGCTTGGTTTCTGCAGACCTGTTCTGTGCTCCAGGCAGCTTTGCCTGTTGAATTCCTCACTCATCCCCAGGACTTGGCATATTTGCCTCCACTTCGTTCGCTGGTTATCTAAACCCAAGGGTCAAGGCCTCAGGAGACCTGCAGTTTCTCAAGCAGACTGGAACCCGTCTGCATGCAGGGTCGCCCCAGGCGATCAAAGCAGATTTGGAATATTTCAGGCAGCTTAGGATGGGCCCAGCTGCCCTGATCCCCCCCCCCCCCCGTGTCACTCCTGGGTCCTGTACTGGGCCTGCCAAGCGGCGACACCTAGAGTGACCCTGCACCCCCCTGCTTCCTGCCGCCCACTGGGGACATCTGGTTCCCAGTCCCTCTCCTTGAAGGAGGCAAAACTTGGAGTAGTTGGACGCTTCCTGTTTCCCACCATCTTCCCTGCTTAAAATAGTTCTGGAGTCAACACAGGAAGGCTTAGGGGGCTGCAGCCACCTCTGACAGCTCGTTAACCTAGCAGGGCCTGGGTCTCCAGAGTAGGGACAGGTGGGCAACAGTTGCGGGGCCCAGCCCCCCGCAAGCATCTTGCATACAGCTGCCAGAGAGTAGCTGCCCCCTCCCAGCCCTCCAGAGACAAACCTCGAGGTCCTGGGATCGTGAACACAGTGGAAATTGACTAAACCCTGGAGTCTCAGCTCGGGGCCTCCTTAGCTGACACCGTCCTTAGCGCAGGGCCTCGGCTCCAGGCTCTGAAGACAGGAGAGGGAGGTGTGGGGTGGAAGGTCCCTCTCTCCTCTGCTTTCCTTTTGTTTCTTTGGTGCCCAARGATGAAGGAGCAGAACAGTGAGGAGGGTTCTGTGCTAGGGTTCTGCTCTGCGGCACAGCGTGGCTTCTCTGGTTTACAAAAAACAATGGGATCTGAGGAACGGAAGAGCGGCCCTCAAAGGTGCCAAATCTAAAGAAATGATAAGAGACAGAGGTGCTCATCCCCTGTCTGGACCAGTGCACGCCGGGTGCATGTTTAAATGTGGTGCTGTATTCCAGAAATTCACACAATAGCACCTGCTGATGAGGAACAAGGATGAGGAAAGAGGCCGGAAAGCGAGGGCCCCACACCCCAACCCCTGACCCAGAAGCTGCCCTGGGTCTCTCTGTGGGTCACCATCTGTAACCCACCAAGCCACTCTCCCTCCAAGCCTCTCTCCTGATTGTAAAGCTGCACAGCGGAACCCAGTTGYCTGAGCTACCCCAGAACATAGCACCCCAGGAGGGATCCCCAGGCCTGCTAAGGAGCTGGGTGGAGGGATCACAGCCGAAACCACTGGCTTTCCACGTGGGAAAGAGGAGGGGGATCAGGAAGAGAGGACAGAAAGGGGTCTTCCTGCCTTGTCATCTGCGATGCTGCAGTTGGGAGGTKGAGCCTGTGGGGGAGGGGGAAGGGTGGGTCTTAGCCGTGTGGGGAATCTGCTAGGGGACSGGTGCTGGGAGCAGGGCAGGCTCTGGGTTGGCTCTGTGGGATGCCCAGCAGGCAGTGGGGGGGTGAGAAGTCCCTGCTCTGTCCCTTCCTGCTGTGCTCTGTGATGTTCGAGGACACTACTTTCTGTGTCCCCCTGGGTATAAAGCACCATATWCTTGTTGGCTTAAAATAGCAGAAATGGGGAGGCCAGGAGTCCAGCACCCAGCTTGGTCCCTGGTGGGGTTCCGAGGGACCATGGGCTCCAGGCTTGCCACGTCCCCCTGGGTCTGGAGGTCCTTGGTGTTCCTTGGCTTGTGGCTGTGCCAGCCCATGTGGCTCCCTCTTCACATGGAGCTGTCCCCATGAGTCTCTGTCTCCTCTTTTGAGGACACATCATCCTGGACCAGGGCTCTGTCCAGCATGCCTTCATCTTAATTGGATTCCATGTGCAAAGACCCTCTTTCCAAATAAGGCCCCATTCGTGGGCTTTGAGGGTCAGGACTCACTTCAGCATCTCTTTTCAGGGAACAGAGTTCCACCCRTAACACTTCCCATTCTTCTTCTCCTGCAGACAACAGTCCTGAGACCCGGGCTAAAGTGAAATTTGTCCAGGACACCTCCAAGTATTGGTACAAGCCTGAGATCTCCAGAGAGCAAGGTGAGGACTGGGTGGTTCTGGTGGTTCTGTGGTCCATAGAGGACAGAGCTGGCTGCCAATCACCATGTCTGACTTGGGCAAGGAACACAGTGCACTCATTCCTCTTTGCAGTAGGTAGTGGTCACAGAGAGGGAGCTGGGGCTGAAGTCAGACAGTAAGAAGCACTTCCCACATCAAAGGGAAGGCTGGCAGACTATTGGTGTGAATGATTTTTGCAAGAGTCCATCGGAGCTTTGGTTTTCCTGGACAAAGTAGAAGGACAGCCAAAATCATATGAAGCCTCAGCTCTCCATCTGTATGATGTGGGAGATTTTTGCATTTTGTAGAAACAAATGAAGTTGTGAATATGGGAATAGAGACGAGGCCCTCTATGGGTTCTCAAGGAACATCTGTGGGGTGTGGGTGTGGCTCAGCAAGGACTGCCTGACGGCTCCACTGGCCCGCTGCCTGTCTTTGTAAATAAAGTTTTATTGGAACAAAGCCACGCCCATTAGTTTACAGACTGTMTCTCGCTTCCAGCTGCAGCCATAGACTTGAGTATTTGGGACAGGCTGCGTGGCCCCCAGTGTTGACTCTCTGGCCATCTCAGCCTAGGAGGGCCCTCGGGAGTGTTTACACTCTGACTTTAAAGAATGTCATCTCATCCAAGAGAAAACAAAGTTCCAGGGGCCCCCAGGGCACTTAGGCAGCCAGGGACGCCAATCTCAGGTGCCCTCTTCCCTCCTCTGGCGCAGCCATCGCACTCCTTAAGGATCAGGAGCCAGGGGCCTTCGTCATCCGTGACAGCCACTCCTTCCGGGGGGCCTATGGGCTGGCCATGAAGGTGTCTTCGCCCCCTCCGACCATCATGCAGCAGAATAAGAAAGGTGACATCCTCCTCCGGAGACTGTGGGACCTTCACGGGCTCTTCAAACCCTGGGGTGCTGGGGGGCCCCAGGGTGCTGAGCAGGACCTGAGTCTCAGAGAGCTGGTGCCTGATAAACAGCTCTCCAGAAGAGCGTGCCCTGGGCTGGTGACGGTGGCCTCGGGGAACAGGGAGGCAGGTGTCTCTCCTCTCTGGAGGGGCCGGTGGTGGTCTCTGCAGCCCCAGGCTCCAGCCTCCCCATCTCTGCCACCCTCTCTCCCACCCCAGCCCCGTGCACTGGAGAAGAGGTGGAGCAGCCGTGGGAGTCCGTGGGGGGACTCTGTGAAAAGCGTCCCATTTCTTTCTCTCCCTCCCAGGAGATCTGGCCCATGAGTTGGTGAGACATTTCCTAATCGAGACGGGCCCCAGAGGAGTCAAGCTCAAGGGCTGCCCCAATGAGC